ATTAACTAACATAATTTTGTTGACAAGGGGGAAAGTGAAAGAGTGGAAGGAGAATTGAGGGAAATGAATTAGGTTTTGATTAAGGTGGTTACTCAATTGCATTTCTACTATTTATTTTCTCGAGTTATCATTATCATCATTGATAGATTACAATTAATCCACGTATTTTTTGATATGTGAAGAAATTCTCTTGGTGGGGCGGGTATGGGTATGGGTATGGGGCGGGGGAAGCTAAAACCATACCCGCCCCATACCCATCAAACCTTTTGCGGGTTTTACCCATACCCGCCCTATACCCGGTCAAAGCGGGGATTCCCCGCGTTGACTGGGTATGGGGCGGTCGGGTACCCGCGGCCATGGGTTTGATTGCCATCCCTAATTGGAGTAGAACGGGTCTTATGTAGTGGTAGGTGATAAGAGGGTAGTTTTACGTAAATATGTTAACGTGGAGCTTGCCTTGGCCACAAGCCCACAACCGTAAGCTTCTCTTCTCTTCTCTTCTTTCTTTCTTTCTGGTTGTCCAACCAATGCAATGTGTTAGGTAGGGATGACAATTGTAACTACAAGTATCAGATCGTTCTCAATCCAATCAGCATAGAGAACTCTTGTATTGACTAGATATGAGAAGAATATAGATAAAAGTAAAACCAATAAAAAGTTTAATGGGAATGAGAGGGTAAAATACTTTGAATACCACTTAACTTTGCGAATTGGGGTAGACATACCACTTAACTTTGAATAGGGTGTCGGGTACCACTAAACTCTATCAAATGTGCATCCGGTACCACTTAGGTTTACTGTTAAGAGCATTCCGTTAAAATTGACAGAATATTCTTGGAATATTCCGTTTTCTAAATTTCAAAATTGATCATTCTACTTTTCTTATTGTAAAAAATCATTTGGACTTATGAAAAACTTAATTTTTTATTGTTTGGTTGGAATCCTCTTTCTAAGACTCTAATACCAAACCAATTTTTTAATAGAAAATTTAGAATCAACCATTGTTATAAGTATTTTCAATCATATGTGTTCTCATAATTGATTTTTTTTTTCTGAAACAAATATATCCCTCGTATTCTGTCTCAATATAAATAATCCAAAGATGTTATATTTAGTTCTCTTACATCATGATGATGTTGTCGAATTTTTCATGTTAAATTTCCTTGTAATTCTCTAATATTATATTATAAATGTTCCATATTAGTTAATATACTAATTCTAATTCTCTTCCTATAGTTGTATTCTTTTTTAAATTAATGTATATTGTAGCTTTTATAGTTTACTTATTACTTGGTTACTTTTTGAATCTTCTCGTTCAATTTTTTTTTTCAATTACAGGAATATGTTTAATTATTTCTGATTACCTTCCATTTATCTTTTTTTTTTTGTCTTGATGGTCAATTAAGTTCTATTTTAACTATTTATAGGGGTTGTAATTGTATTAGGGGTTTAAATATATATACTAATATTAATTTTAATTTTTTTATTATCTTTAGAACATTTATTACTCCTTATTATATTCGTTTATTGTTTTTACTAATTTATTTATTTTATTGAAAAATTGCATTAGCCATTCTAGTAATATTACATTTAGAAGGTTTTCTAATTTTTATATTAGTTAATACTTGTTGAAATACAGTTTTGGATGTTTTTTTAAAGTTTTTGGTATCAAAAAGTAATTAAAATTTTGGATTGGATGGAAAATTGGACAGATGCACATTTTGACGACTTTAATGGTACCCGATGCCCTATTCAAAGTTACGTGGTATCCGAGGTATTTTACCCGGGAATGAGATGAGTAGAGTTTTAACCTCCTCGTCTCATACTCATGTTTGCCCCACCACTTGTATTTCTTCATATATAAAAAACAGAGAGATCAAATTGTAACTTGTCAACGAAAAGAAGGTTCAATGACGAAAAAAAAAGAGTTGAAACGTAATTGAATAATCATCACGTGAACCAAATTTTAATTTCTTTCCCTCCAATTCTCATTTAACTTTTCCCTTCTAATTTTTTTTTAACATAGACAGTAGTCAGGTAAATCCCTGACCAATACAGAGTCAAAGAACAAAAAATTACACCGCGCGGTAATCGACAAATAGTCGAACTGCCGATGAAATGGCTTGTTATGCCACAAAATGGGCATCCCTATGAGCAGCTGTACCTACAAAATGAACAACCACATAGCCGCAGACGACTGAATATCGATAAATATTGAAAAAACCTATGCCAAAATCCTTGCTCTTATAACCTCAAGCAAAACGCTTCCTCGTCAATGATTATCCAACCGGCCACTAAAGTTGCCAAGCATGACATTCATCGGCCCTCCAAACGACTCAGTCGAAAAGCCTAGATGAGCAGTGTACTCGGAATGCCTACTGAAGCCGCAACCTTTCCTTAGAAAGCCATAAAGCTCCATCAATAGTCAGAAGTAACCTGCAAAACAAGAAAACAAATAGGCAATCCAAAAGGATATTGGGGCTTCCATTCAGACATCCTCGACAGCCAAGCAATATGATAAGAGAAAGGAAGACTCCACCATGGAGTAACATTGATAGGCTCCACAACGGAGAGGGTCATCACCGGCGGAGCACGATGTCGTAGACCATTATGAGCCAGTATGCATGAAACGAACTTGGCAAGCCACTCACAAAGATTAGACTAACTTTTTCTTTCCTAGTATACAATTTTATAAAATTAGGTCATAGTTATTCCCTTCTAAATTCTTCCTTTTAACAAAATTATGTTAGTTATTTATTGCTTAATAAATGTGTCATAAATGTTTGATTTGTATAATATTGTACATTTTCTTATAGATTAACTTATATTTTAGATTTCAATGTGTTGAATTCGTAAAAAATTATTGTATCTTTGTTGATATCATAATGTATTAGGTCCATTTAATGTTATAACCATGGTCCATGAAACCGTACCGGAAAAATCAGCGGTATGATATTTTATGATAAAACCGTGGTTTAACCGTAGTTCAACTATTAGACCGTTAAATAACGCCTACCGATTTAACCTCCGTTACTGGTATTTCGTGGTTGAACCGCCGGTACGGTACGATTTCATGGACCATGGTTATAACTAAATATCTATCTGTTGAATGTACCATGCAAGTACTAGTACTATCTATGGGTCACATAGTCTGATGGTAAGCGAGATGGACTCAGTGGCGTAGCCAGGATTTTATTCAAGGGGGTGCCATAAAAAATTTACATATGCGGGTTCATGTCTTATATTTTGAAATTATTCTATAACCATATAAATCGTTCAAACTATCAAGATTAATGTATCCCACCAAATAACCATTCAGGCATTCACAAGTTATGTTCACTAGATGCGAAGACCGGTCAATCGTTTCATTGCATAAAATGTTTCCAAGTTGTGCATTAACAAATTGTAGTAGCAAATCAAATTTATTTTCACCAGCAAATACATTGATGGAACTAATTTTCTCATCCAACTATTGTCATAAAAAAATATTTAATGATGTCCTCTAATAATATGCATCTCTTATCCGTCTTGATATACATGTATTAATATTGAAATTAGCAGATGAAATTAGTTTATATAGTTTGTTGTGGTTTAGCAGAGAACTTAACAGTGGTTGAACTGGTCTTGAATGGAGAATGGAATCAAATTTGACGATTTGCATTGAGATTTAGGATTTAAATTTCACTATTAACAAACTAATATCAATAATATTTTATGCTTTTCTCCAAATTTAAGGGGGTGCCATGGACCCCCTTATTAACTTCTAGCTACGCCCCTGGATGGACTTGTAACCGAAAGATACTAAGTTCGATCCTCACTGCCTTCATGGTGTTTGCGGAGGAACCACACATTTGCCCAGACTACTGGCGAAGGTTCCGGGATTAGGCCCAACTACGACATCACTGAAGATGGTAAACGTGAAGGGTGTTCCTCCCCATAGGAAAAAAAGAGACAAGTGGAGTTTGAATAAGATAATTTAGAAAAATTTACCTTATTATCCGGAGTCTCCAAAACGAGAGCGGATCCCATGACTAAGGGGGGGTCCTTAGTCACTTGACTAAGCCCCTCCTAGCCATTAGATCTGAACACTTCAATCCAATGGTTAAAAGTGGGAAGAGCTATTTAATTAATGACAGGGGTAGTTTGAGTATTATGGAAAATTACGAAGTATACAAACCGGATTTACAATCAGTACAAACCATACAAACATACGAACAGTACAAACTAGATCGACAAAACATACAAACAGATTTACAAACATTACAAAATTATGAACTGTACAAACAATACAAACTAGACTGACAAACAATACAAACCATACAAAAAGAAAAAACAAAGTTGACAAAAATGATAAACATGGTGCACAAAAATAACAAAGTTTACGAACATTACAAAAAAAAAAACGACAAACAGTACAAAATAACAAAAGCGTACAAACATTACAAAATATGTCAACAAACATCACAAAATCAGCACTGTCGCCGGGAAATTCTTCTCCGTCGACGATGGTCGCCGGAAAAAAAATTTCCGACCATAAAATCTCTCTCTCTCTCTCTCGGGAATGGAATAATGGCGACCAAGAATCCTTTTTTGGGGAATGGAATAATGACGCCCAGGAATTCCCCTGTCGGAGACGGCGCAATTAACCGGACGGGGAGGCCGGAGACAGCGAAAAGGACCGGCTGAAACGGCGGCGGCGCTTACTTATTTTTTTTAATTTCTTTTATAATTAAAAGTTAAAAATAAACATAGAATTACTACATTGCCCTTCATTAAATTGGATTAATAGGAGCCTTTGGATTTTAATGAGGTTGAGTGGCTGAGATTCACTTAGCCATGTGATTAAGGAACCCCTTAATCACGTGATCTCAGCCCCTCCAAAACGGAGGATACGTCCCAAGGCCCAAGCCATCTACTATATATTTTAGGTAGATTCGAATGGCTGCGTTACAGCAAACATTCCGCTCAAATCAAATCGTCGCTTCTACCCACAACTCTGAAATTGTGCAATTTGTCTTTTTCTAATCTCCGCATCGTCTCCGTCGTTCATCCTATTGATACATCCGAATGTCGTTGATCCGATTTCTCTCTCATATTTTCTGCCGATAGGCCACTCAGGTTAGGTTTCTTCATCGAATTGTGCAATTTCGTCTCAGCGCCGAGAGTCCGATGTCGTTCATACTCTGGATCTATGTGAAACTCATTGATCGATCTCCCTCTCTCATATCTAGAGTTTGTCGGTTAGGTTTGCAGTTCTTTCTGAAGACAATTTTCTTCTCACTTCGTTTCTGTTTCGTGCTGTAACACGTGGGACTTGAATGTAAAGAATAAAAGATGTTAGTAGAGTTGACAGAAGTATAGGGACTAAATGGGATATTTGGCAAGTGTATATAACTCTATCCTGTAACAACCTAACGGTCATCTGAGATCAATAACAACTTTTCCCTCTCTCACTTCTATCTCTCTCTCTCTCTCTCTTCTCTTCTTCTACTTTCCCTTTCTTCTACCGAATTCTACTGCCGAGAGCTTCTCCGGTCCAGAGCGTGACAAGTTGGTATCAGAGCCATCTCTCGGCCATGGCTACGACGGTGCGCCAGCTCGACGATCGCTTGAGCGCATTTTCCACTCGGACTATTGAAGCAGAATCCGCCTTCAACAATCAGATCACAACGCTGGAAGATCAGAATCGAGCTCAATCGACTCAATTGCAGGAGTTGATGGCGAGATCTGAAGGTCATTCGCAACAGTTTGCCGTGATTAACACTCGTTTGGATGGTATGGAGGATCGTTCGGTCGCTCGATTTGCTCAAATGGATCAGAATATCCAGGAGATCATTCGTCGATTGGAGGTTCTTCAAGTTCGGCCGGAGGTCGCCGCCGATCAGCAACTAGCTCGTCATGACGGCCGGGGTCTCTTGCCTCTGCCAATTCTACGGCCAGTAGCCGTTCCACCACCACAGCAGCGAGGCTTTGCTCAGAACAATCTGGATGCAGAGCAGGGTCACGTTTTAGGTCAACCATGAGGTAATGATCAGATTCAGTTGCCTCGCATCGATTTTCCTCGGTTTAGAGGTGATAATCCTAGGGATTGGATTCGGAAGTGTGAGAAGTTGTTCGACATTTATGCTATTCCTGATGAGCAGAAAGTACGAATGGCTTCCATTTACTTTGATCGTCGTCCAGATATCTGGTTTGAGGGATGGAAAATCGAGCATAGGGATTGGATTTGGGAAGAATTTGTGAGGGATTTGTGTGGCAGATTTGGTGATCGAGAATTTGGAGGTATTGTAGAGGAGTTCAATAAGCTTCGTCAAAGTGGTTCGTTGGCTGACTATCAAGAGAAATTCGAGGAGCTGAAGTCACAAATGGTACGGTATAATCCAGCTTTGGGGGAGCAGTATTTCATCTCTAGCTTCGTCAGTGGACTAGAGGAAGAACTCAGGCCGGTGATCAAGATGTGGCAGCCAGTGACTTTAGCCCATGCGTTCCAACTGGCACAGTTGGAGGAGACAGCAAATGAAGCTAAGCGAAGGAAATGGCGTCTGGGAATGGGCAATGGCATGCGTTCAGTTCCACCAGTGGTGCAAGGAATCAATCCTAATGCTCGGAAATGGGAAGGGCCTAGCAGTCGGCCTCACAATTTAGGAAAAGCTCAGGCATCTACTAGTAACAAACCGAACTATGCCAAAGGAGCTTGTTACAAATGCGGGGATAAATACTATTTTGGTCATGTGTGTGACACTAAGAAGTAGCTAAATATGATGCAGGCAGAAGATGGGGAGATAGTAGCACCAGAAGACTGGAGTGTAATGGATGATGAGGACATGGATGAGGTTCTAGGGGAATATCAGCAACCTGAGATTGTGGAAGTATCAATGCAGGCTCTAAGTAGTGGAGGTCTATCCAATTCATTGATTGTGAAGGGTAAGGTCAAGAAGGAAAGAATATATGTGCTCATCGATACTGGCAGCACACATACCTTCTTGAGTGAAAAGAAGGCCATGGATCTCAAGTGCAAGATGGTGCAGGCAGAATCTCCTCTGAGGGTTAAGCTGGCTGATGGAATAATTCTGTTGAGCAGTATGGTTTGTAAAGACTTTTGCTGGGAAATGCAGGACCACAAGCTCACATGTGATATGAGGATCCTGAGTCTGGGAACTAATGATGTGGTATTGGGTTTGGACTGGTTAAAAACTATTAGTCCAGTCAAATTTGATTTCATCAACCTTCAGTTGTTCTTTGACTGGGAAGGACAGGAAGTGTCATTGCAGGGAGTGCAGGATATGGCTCAGTGCATATCGGGGAAGACTCAACAAAAGATGATTAAGAAGACCACAACTACACTGGTGGGGCACCTGTTCAGCATTTCTGTGGAGACTGCCAATGCAGGTAAGGTTCCTGAGTTCTTGGAACCTGTAGTGAATGAATTTAGTGATGTGTTTGGGAAGCCTAAGTCACTACCACCACCTAGACCCTGTGACCATACTATTCCCCTACTCCCAAATGCTCAACCTGTGAATCTTAGACCCTACCGCTATTCAATACCACAGAAGAATGAAATGGATCGCTTAGTGAAGGAAATGATGGATTCTCAGTATATACAGGATAGTAGAAGTCCTTATGCATCACCTGTTTTGTTGGTACTCAAGAAAGATGGATCATGGAGGTTCTGTGTGGATTACAAGCAGCTGAACTCTCTCACTATTAAAGACAAGTTCCCAATTCCAGTCATTGATGATCTATTGGATGAGTTAAGAGGGTCCAAATTCTTCACCAAACTGGATTTATTGTCAGGCTACCACCAGATCAGAATGCACCCTCAAGACCAACACAAGACAGCCTTTAGAACTCATCAAGGCCACTATGAATTCAGGGTAATGCTCTTTGGATCGACAAATTCCCCAGCAACCTTCCAAGCTCTCATGAATCAGATCTTTGCTCCACACTTGAGGAAGTTTATACTGGTTTTCTTTGATGACATTTTGGTGTACAGTCCTGATCAAGACAGTCACAAGGAGCACCTGGCTATCACATTGGGCATCCTCAGAGCTCATACCTTGTATGCTAAACCCTCCAAATGTTCCTTTGGTCAGACTCAAGTAGACTATCTTGGTCACATTATCAACCAGGAAGGTGTTTCTACTGATCCTGGTAAGGTAGAAGCTATGGTGTCCTGGCCAGTTCCTAAGAATATCAAGGCACTCAGGGGGTTTTTGGGTCTAACTGGATATTACAGGAAGTTTGTAAAAAATTATAGCATTTTGGCTAAGCCTTTAACTGATTTACTGAAGAGGGACAGTTTCAAGTGGTCTGCATCAGCTCAGGGGGCTTTTGAGGTACTGAAAGCAGCTATGGTGCAGGCTCCAGTACTGGCCTTGCCAGATTTCAGCCAACCTTTTGTGCTGGAAACTGATGCCAGTGATATAGGCATTGGAGCTGTGTTGTCTCAAAGAGGTAAACCACTGGCATATCACAGCCAAGCTCTGGGACCAAGGAAGCAGGGTCTCTCCACCTATGAAAGTTTAAAGCATATGCTAGGTCAGAAGATTCATACCCAGATATAGAAAAAGGGGTTAGGCTGCTGGGTTTGGACTTTGAGATCTAGTATAGACAAGGTAGACTCAATAAAGTGGCCGATGCCCTGTCCAGGTATCCCAACTTTACTGATCAAGGGTCTTGTCAGGCCATTTCAACCACTTTACCTGCCTGGCTTGCTGAGATTGAAAGCACTTATGAGGGGGATTCTGTGGTGCAGGCACTTGTGATGGAGGCATCAGTCCCTATGGTTGGTCCAAAACTCTACTCAGTGAAGCAAGGTCTTTTGTACCATAAGGCTGCTTTATATGTGGGCACAGGGGGTGATATGAGGAAGCAGCTCATGCAGTTATTTCATGACTCACCTGTGGGAGGACATTCTGGATTACAAGCCAACTATCAGAGGTTGAAGAGGTACTTTTGGTGGCCTGGATTGAAGAAAGATTTGAAGGAGTATGTTCAAGCTTGTGATATATGTCAGAGGTGTAAGACTGAGAATGTTCCCTACCCTGGTTTGCTGCAACCCCTTTCTATTCCTAATCAGGCTTGGAAACACATTTCCATGGACTTTATTGAGGGACTGCCTAAGTCACAAGGTAAGGAGGTGGTGTTTGTGGTGGTTGACAGGTTCTCCAAATACAGCCACTTCTTCTGTTTGGCCAAGCCCTATACTGCTGTCTCAGTGGCCCAAGTTTTCTTTGATGGCATCTTCAAATTACATGGGTTACCACAGTCCATTGTGTCTGATAGGGATTCCCTGTTTACCAGCACCTTCTGGTCAACCTTGTTCCAGCTTCAAGGGGTCAAGTTGCATTACTCTACTGCCTATCACCCTTAGTCAGATGGCCAAACTGAGAGGGTGAATCGTTGTTTGGAGGAATATTTGCGTGGTATGGTGCATCATAACCCTCAGCAGTGGGCTGGATGGTTGACTTTGGCTGAGTGGTGGTACAACACAGACTACCATTCCAATCTGCAGGGTACCCCCTTTGAAGCCTTATATGGCTATGCTCCTTCCCAATTTTCTCTCACCAATCCCCTCTCTACTGCTGTAGCAGCTGTGTCAGATAGACTTCAGCAACAACATAAGCTCATTGGAGTGTTGCGAGCAAACTTGGCCAAGGCTCAGAATCGCCAGAAGTAGATGGCAAATGCTCATAGAACTGAGCGTTCATTTCAAGTGGGGGAGCGAGTGTATCTGAAGCTCAGGCCTTACATGCAGTCTTCTGTGGTTACCAGGTTGAATCAGAAGCTATCTCCGAAGTTTTATGGTCCCTTTGAAATTGAAAGAAAGGTTGGAAGTGTGGCATATCGATTGAAACTGCCACAAGGGTCTGTTATACATCCAGTGTTTCATGTGTCTCTCTTGAAGCGTGCTCGTGGCCACCAGTATCACACGCAGCATGCTCTTCCCGAGATAGATGATAATGGAGGATTGAAGATGGAGCCAACTTTGATTCTCGCCAGAAGGGTTGTAGTTAGAAGAAATGCAGCAGCTACACAGATACTTGTGCAATGGACACATCAAGTTGAGGAGGATGCTACTTGGGAGTTTTTGGATGAGATCAAACAAAAATTTCCAGAATTCCAGACTTGAGGCCAAATCAGCTCTGAAGGAGGAGGGAGTTGTAACACGTGGGACTTGAATGTAAAGAATAAAAGATGTTAGTAGAGTTGACAGAAGTATAGGGACTAAATGGAATATTTGGCAAGTGTATATAACTCTATCCTGTAACAACCTAACGGTCATCTGAGATCAATAAAAACTTTTCCCTCTCTCACTTCTATCTCTCTCTCTCTCTTCTCTTCTTCTACTTTCCCTTTCTTCTACCGAATTCTACTGCCGAGTGCTTCTCTGGTCCAGAGCGTGACACGTGCATTTACCAACCATAGTCTATTCTGTTATCTTTCTTTTCAGATGGCGGAACAGAAGAAGGAAGCTGGCGGCAAAGAGAAGAAGTCCTTTCTCTGTAAGTTTGTCGCCACTGTTTATCGGAGGAAATAGGTTTTAGTGGCGCTTTAATGTTGGTTCCATGCTACTGGAGCGCCACCATCAGAATTCACATAACGCAAAACAATAGCCATCTGCTCTTTCATTGATATATCACGAGTCTCATCAACCAATATGCAGAAAAAATTATTCCCAATCTCTGCAATGATTTTCTTAGTCGTTTCACAAGCCATGGCATGAATAAGATCTCTTTGAATCTTTGGAGAGGTGAGTTGGAGATTCTTTGGAGCATTCCTCCCAACCACTCTTTGCACATCTTCTCTACCAAGAGCATGGAAATCTAATAGCTGAAGAAAGTTACCTCTGTTACTTGAAGTTGCAGATTCATCATGCCCTCGAAATGATAATCCATTCACTACTAGCCACCTTATGCAATCAAGTGAAGCAACCAAACGAATTCGATAATCTCTTTTGGCTTGATCTGATTGTCTAAATAATGCAGCTTCAATTCCTCTTGCTTGCTTCAATAAAAGATCTGAACTGTTTTTAGCTCTATTGTGGTAGCTGTTATGCTCCCCAACATGATCATCAAAAGCTTTCAATTTATTCCATGTTCTAAATCCTTCACCAATAAAGCCATCATTACTCCCACCTCGCTTACTGAACACATAGCAATATAGACAATAAGCAGCATCTTTTGAGACACTATAATCAAGCCAATTATACTTCTTGAACCAAGAAGCCTGGAATTTACGCTGCCTTCCACTGAAGTTTCTGGCAGGAAAAGCATGACTCTTTGGTTGAATAGGACCTTTTTGAAGAAAAAATCTTCTAACTTGGTCACGGACATTGGGATGAAAGCTAGATATCTTAGTTCTTAATGCCGGATCTAGCACCAAAGAGTTTTCATCAAACCCTCCATCTGATTCTGCTGAGAAAGACTCACTTTCTTCTGGAGTTCGATTGACTGAACCTGAAAGATTTGGTTCTTGTATTTGAGGAGCTCCCACTGTCGACGAAGGAGGAAAGGTTTGAGCTTGTCTACTCCCACTAGCTTCAACACCTTCAGTTTGAACATTAGGAGTAGATTGGACTTGTCTTGAGTAGTATCTTTCCATTGGTACCTGATCTAGCATAGAATGTACATAAAATTAGAATTGAAATTCCACTGTAAAAACCGCTACTTTCCCCACCCAAAAGTTATGCTTCCCAAATCAGATTGGAATTCCCCACCCAAAGTTATGCTTCCCCATTGTAAAACTGCTGCTTAACAATTGGAATTAACAATTGAAAATGCGATCTTAATCTTTGTATACTTGTATTGCTACTGTCTTTGTCAAACCATGAATCATCAATGTTGTATACTTATATGTCGAAAAGCAGGGGACAGTTATGTTCTCTTCAATTCCTAATGTTTTACTTTGGTCAGGCAAACTTGTAAAAGCTTCTGAGCGAGATTGTAAAGCTTGTCTACTCTGCCACTAGTTCTTAATTTCAAGGCTTGCTCACATCGCTCAGCAAAAACATGTCTACTCTCACTCTCCCACTAGTTCTTAATTCCATGATCATCCATGAATTTTGGCAGCAAGTTCAAGCTTACCGAAGGAGAAGTTGCAGCGGCCAACGGCTGAAATGGAGGAGAACTCTCAACGGACAGAGGAGACCGACGAACAAGGACGAGGTCGACGCAGGGCGAGGCCGGCGGATGACGGCGAGGCCAGCGAAGGAGGGCGAGGCCGGCGGATGACGGCGAGGCTAGCGGAGGAGGGCGAGGCGGCGGAGGAGGGCGAGGTGGCTTAGCGGCGCGACATTGAAGTGGTAGCAGCCGCAGAGTTGATTTTGCGAAGAAGAATGGGAGGAGTCGTGTTTAGTTTTAGGGTTTTGTTGTCAAATTATGGATAAAATTAACATGTTTATAACTATCCGTATCTTCAAATTATACCAAGAAATGAGATGTAGTGTGATGGAAAACATGTTAGCTAATAACTAGGGTGTCCCAGGTTCAAATCCCATAAGCCACTATATATTTTTTTTTCCTACGCTCAAACTACTACCGGGGGTTCGATAAATTTTCTCCGAGATTTTAGGGGTGTCCGGGGACACCCCCAATCATCCCTGGGTCCGCCCTGGCCTTAATGGTGCCTTTTCTGTGAATCCTCTAGAACGGTCTTGGAAGATACAAAACATGAAGTTACGATGAGGAAATATATTGAATCTCCATATTTGAGTCCGATGATTACTGATTAGGATAGCAACACTATGAATGAAAAACTTCTGCAATCTGCTACGTGGTCTATTTTCTCGTTATTGAGATCTCCGGAGTTCAGTTCAGTCGTAATTTGGCAGCAAATGTTTACTGTAGTATCTATATTCGACAATTATGCTTTTATAATTACACAGTTGGAAGTATATCTTCTAATGTTCGACTATTTGCTGAACTAGATGATGAAATTGGAAATTATTTCCTTGGCTCATGGACGAAGATGGCAGTGGATGACACTATGGATTTCAACATTGAAACAGTTCCAAAAGGGGATATAAAACGAAGGCATTCAACTTTGGGAACTTGTAATTCAGGGCAAGTATGAGAGCTTTTTACTGTCTTTCTAACTAAAGCCTGGAAATCGATTTAAAACATATTCATGGCAGTCTCTTTCTGATGCAGTTTCGGGGTTTTATTGCAAATCGTCTTATGATTGATGGATACTTCTAAGTTGGATTAGCTAGGGATCAGATATTGATTGTATCTATATCTTTCTTAGAAAGATACTCTCTTGCTTGATTCGACCTGAATTTTGGCCATTATATATGCGAGTTGCTCAACTGTAAAAAAAATGAGTAAAGCGAAAATATGCTTGTTAACTTTTGTTCCACTTAAAACTGGTGAATGCTGGAGCTCATTATTGTTGTGGGTATGTATGAATACCATTGTTATTTTCCCAGGGACATCGATTTTAATATGGATGGAGATTTTGCCAAGTTACAATCCTTCAAGATGGACATGCCAGACCTTGATTTCTCAAGCCCCGAACATGTTTTTAAATCGAAGCAAAAAGTGGATAGAGGATCCTCTAGTGGACAGCAGAAAGGAAAATTAGACACCTTTGACATCTCTTTTGATTTTGACGGGTATGTTTACAATTTCTCTTTAAGATTTATATGGCTACCTTATTCTCTAGGAATGTGTTGTGTTGATGGAGGGTATAAATTCTCCAATTTCTTACCTAACTCTCATTTCTTTATTACAAGTCGGGTTCGACAGATTCAACCTCGATGAAGACATAATCAAGGTAGATGGTAACGCTCCCGCAACAAAGCACACTGATAAAATTGGGGCTGGCTGTGAACGTCATGATGGATCTGAAAGCAGTCAGACAGAGGACTCGGCAGCATCAGAGAAAATTATCAATCATGCGGTGAAGACTGCTGTAGCTCCTGAAGGAATTGAAATTCCTCGAGATGATAGTACAGTAGGAACTTTCGTTGAGCATGCAGCAGAAAGCTCATCAGAAGAAACAGTTGGTGTTAGAACTGAAGCAACAAATCAACAGGGCTCATCCTCAGATGTTTATACTCCCATCCCATGGATCAATGTAACCCATCCCAAGATGAAGGCATGCCCAATGACCAATATGCTAAGTATGGTTTGCAGTCCACGGCATCACAATCCCTTGGTGGGAGCGATTCTATCCCAGTCAGATGTACCGTCGGAGGCTGATTACTTGGGTTCGAGAGTGACTGTAAAGTCAGATGCAGAGCACACTCTTAATGTTTTAAAATCAATCAATGAGAACCAAAAACAACTCAGCAAATTAACTCCTTTGAATACTAATGGCCAGGAGGTCAAGAAATTAAGATTTCAAAACAGAGATTATTCCCGAGAGCACTGCAGAGGGTATTAAGAGACTGAGCCAGTGGCAACTGTTAGAGATTACTAGAATCAATGCCCACGGCTACGCCGCGGGAGATATAGTTGTATTTGGTATCGGTAAAAACAGTATACATATAACGAAAATGTTAGAAATGATAAAGAGAAAGTAAGTATTATAAGTTCTGCTAAAAAAACTAAGAAACTTACAATCTTCTGCCTACTTTCCAACTCAGGTCTGCAAATTCTACCATGGATTTCTTCTCCTTCACTTCTTTCTTTGGATTGTTCTTCTGGTCTGAAATTTATTTCTGAAGTATCCTTTTGGACTCTTTGAATGCAAAATCAGCATGTTTCTTGCAAAAAATAAGAGAACGTAAAGCAAGCGCCTCAATAAAAGAAGAGTCTACTAAGCATCTCCGAGTATGAATGAACTCAAATGTAACATGAAGTTTGGCATGGAAAACCTGCCTAGAAACCCATTCAAACAAAATACCTTCAAACTGCAGATGCCAGGAATAGTTATACAATAGGCAAAATTCAATCCAGAATTGACAGCATAAGAATTGAAACCCCTTCCTCTAGAATGATGAAGAAAGCAAAGTTGCAACATCTATTTTGGTAATGGCACTTTCTGATTCTGCAGCAACTTGAAGTGGCCTGAAGCTTGACTTCAGCTAATATCAATTCAGACCAACATCGTGCATAACAATGCAAAGGAAAATTGCGACTAATTTATGGAAGCACACCGGAGAATAAAATAAGCAAATGAACAAAGTATGAGCAGGAAGAAGATAATTTTGTGGATCTGGAGTAACACATAAGACCACCAGCAAGTGTTGAAGGTACTGCGACTCGTGTGTGTTGTTGCAGCGTACTGTTGTTGCTTCTAGAACCAAATGCATGCACTGGAGTTATAAAGCAAGAAGCACAAAGCACAACCCATAAAAAAGCCGTGAGCAACATCAGGAAACCAAAACGGGGAGCACAATGATGAGGATGAAAATTAAGAGGAACTGGAGTGACCTCGTTGAATATAAGACCAAGTCTCTGAAACTAACTCCTTAACCATGTTCCTCTTCCATCATAGTGAGTAAAGCATCTTCCCACCACTTAACATCATAGCAAGAAATGAGGATAAAGAACTGACAGAAACTTACAGTAGAGGGCAAAGCACTGAAATGAGCAAATGGGAAATCAACAATGGATGGACTCTGTACCATTATTAAAGGACTTGTTGTAGGCAGAAATCACAGATGTATAAGCCACCTTTGTCCATCACAATTTTGAATCCATCATTTTCCCAAAAAACTCTATAGCTTGGTTGAATTTTGTCATCTTGCAACACCCACTTATCAAGACATTGTAAGTAACAGAATCAGACAATACTTTTCTTTTCCCCAAGGATAAAAACAATGCAAACGGCCTTGTCATGTTCCCCAACATTCATATACGTGGGACAGTCAAGACGAAACTCAATAGTTAAACCTGGATTACAAAGAGGGAAAAGAATGCAGGCTTGAAACTTAAGCATCAATATGACCATCGAGATTTCAGAAACTGATTCCGCAGTTATAAATGGGTTTCCTATGCATTCCCAAGGTTAACATCAGCGAAAGGTACGAAAACCCCAAAAGTAAATTGGACCAAACCAAAATGGGAACCGTAAAATATGAAATACCTTCTAGCGTCGATCCTATATCCTTCTATATATCCCTCTATGTGATTAGAGAAGTTGCTCCGAACATAGCTTCAGTGTTAATGAAAAGGTTAGGAAGGATGATTGACAACAGTTGATAGCGAGATACATGTGGTCATAAAAAGTTTACCTGTTGTGAGTAATTCCAGGTCCAAGTTCAAGCATTATACACCACTATGAGAACTGTCAACCGAGAATAAGTACTTATTTCAGCCATGAACACAGAACATGGTACCTGCAGTAAGGAAAAAAGACATCATGAAGACAAACTTCACAACAAAGGTGATGATTAAATAGAAATCCAACATAAATATACAACTCTAGTGACACATATGGAATGGAAAAAGTGAAACATAAAAGGTCAAAACAATTCTTGTATGCAGTATGTATCAAATGGCCATTCCTTCCAAACTTGAAAATAAAAAGTGCAAATCCAGCATAAACTACCCCCTGAAGTAGCCTGACAACAAAGAAGCCAACTAATAAAATTCCATCAGCTAAAAACACCATATATATGCAACCCTACTTATTAACAATCCAAACTTCACAGCTGATAGATCTTAAAAAAAATAAGAACTACAACATACGATCAACAGTAGCAAGCCTGTGCAAGCTGGAACTGGTCAAAGGCTGGGTAAACTCAGAATTTCTTAGGTATAGAAATCTGGAATTGGTAAAGTAACTATGGAGAAAAGAATAAAAGGATACGAAATGCTTACCCATAAATCAGAATCAGAAGGAGGGGATTCACATTAATCTTTGAGACCGGTCATATGCCTCTTTGAGACCCAAATGAACAGAGGTTCTAGAAGCAAAATCGATGCTCTCCACCTTTCCCTACCACTGCCGCCTTTCTCCAAAACCCTCCTCGGACGCAGGCTCTTCCATTGCCAGCCTATCATGGTGGTTGCGGAGTGAAGATCATTCTGATCCCTCGTTTTCCAGCTATGTGGACAATGGAGCCCCCTCTTCGCCAATAAATATGGATTAAACCATGAGAGAGATTTCTTCTTCACTCTTCTTCTTCGTCGACTGAGCGAGAGAGAGGTAGAAAGATTTTTTTCTTACCTTTTCTTGTTGATTGTGATGAAGAAGACACTTTTTCTCGAAAGCACAGTGGAGTAGTTGCTGCAACATGGAGGTGGCGTGTGACCAGTTGTGCAGAGGAGGCATGGGCGATGGCGTGCGCAGTGGAAGAACGTCTCCGTGGGTCAAGGTGGGCAGGAACGTCATGTCGGTGATGAAGAAGACACTTTTTCTCGAAAGCACAGTGGAGTAGTTGCTGCAACATGGTGGTGGCGTGTGAGCAGTTGTGCAGAGGAGGCATGGGCGATGGCGTGCGCAGTGGAAGAACGTCTCCTTGGGTCAAGGTGGGCAGGAACGTCATGTCGGTGAGGAGCTGTGTACAGGAAGCTCCTCCAACCATTTTGAGGGGAAGTATTAGACCGCTTGGCACTAAACGCCAAAGAATGAAACAGTAGTAGCAAAGTTAGACCAATAAAGCGTACCCACCTTTCATGTATAAAAGAATGAGGACAACCAGAAGTCAAGCTCTACAGACTTGCCAACTGAAAAGTAAAAGTTCTTACAAATTTTAGTATTTTCCGCATTATTATATGATTGCTCATAAATTTCCAAAACAACTCTATGAAGCATCAGAGAGGACACTGAATGTGTGAGATGTGGATGGCTCTCTCAGCTGATTGTTGATGCTTTTCATAAATCTTTACTGTTTCTTTTTTTGTTGCTTAATGCAGTGAACCAGAAACGGATAAGAACTGAATTACAAAGAAACAAGGCATGAGACTTATCCAGTCCAATTTCTGTAGAAAATCTGGTGATGTTAGGCCTCCTCTTGCTTCACCTAGTCTCCATTTCTCCTTGTTTGGGAGTTCTGAATTGGCTAGCAAGCAGTTGAACCATCTCGGAAGCGTGAAACCGTAAGTAGTGCTTTACAGTTTACTACTTTGTTCAGCTTACTTTTTATTGTTGTTTTGTTTTCTAATAGAGAGAACTTCAATTCTTTTCAAACTAGACAAAACTGGGGTTGTCAACTAAGTTCACTTTCTTCCAATTTGAGGAAAGGTGCACCAACTGCTTCACTGAAACTGTAAGTAGTGCTTTTTACTGTCACTGCTTTTAACAGCTTCCTTTTGGTTTTGTCTTTTCAACTCATTTAGAGACATTTTGTTCTAGCGATGTTCAAACTGGCCGAAACTCGGGTAGTCAACTGAAGCCACGTTTTTCTGAGATGAGAAAAGGTGCACCACCTCCTTTACTAGTTGGTATGAAGAATGTTCAAAGTACAGCTACCAACAGGTTAGTAATGCTGAAATTTAAAGTAGTTTCGTACTCTGTTCAAGCTCTTTCTTTTTTTGTGAATGAAACAGTTTTTGCAAGGATCATGGAGTACAAGAGATTAGCGTGCTAAATGATTATCCAATACTTGCTGATAAAGTGGTAGATAAAGGGGAACCTGTCATTCTTAGAAGTGTAAGCAACATGAAGGATCCTGATAATACTAGGTGAGGCTATTGACTTGTATATTCTAGGACTAAATCCTGTTGTGATTTGGAATTTTGCTGCTTTGGAACTCAGATGATTTCTGCTTTGCTGTAGAAAGGGCAGCTCTGTTGATAAGATAACCAAGTTGAACATCTCGAGAAGTATGAAGTCCTCCTTACCGGCTACGAGATCAATTCCGAGTTCAAAGGATCATACCTGT